TTTTAGAAGAACTTTATCACCCACTTGAAATTCCAAGGGTTTCCTTCGATTATCGGCATAGCTCTTCTGGCAATCCCTTGCAGCTTTAAGTTTTTCTTGGATGATTGCGATTTTGTCGGTTGTCTCCCGGATAATATCAGGCCTGATCAGTTGCCTGTCACCTATTTCCTGCCAACTGAGTGAGGATCTACATTTTTGGCCATACAAGGCTTCAAAAGGTGCGCATTGAATACTGGTGTGATAGCTGTTTTTGTAAGAAAATTCGACCAATGGCAGATGGGTATCCCAACTACCTCCGAAGTCTATCACACAGGCTCGCAACATATCTTCTAATGTTTGAATCATCCTTTCCGTTTATCCATCCGTCTGAGGATGATATGAAGTACTTAAATCCAATCTCGTGCCTAATGCCCTTTGAACTGATTACCATAACCTGGAAGTAAAGCGGCTGTCTCTATCTGAAATGATAGAAACAGGTACTCCATGCCGCGATACAATCTCGTTGATATACAACTGCGCTAGTCTTTCTGTACTGAAATCTTCTCGAATAGGCAGAAAGTGTGCGGATTTCGTAAGTCGATCCACTATGACCCAAACTGAGTCATATCCCCTCCTTGTTCTTGGTATCTTTGTAACAAAATCTATTGATATCTGATCCCATTTCCATTAGGGAATCTCAGGTTGCTGGAGTAGACCAGACGGTTTTTGGTGTTTTGTTTTGACCATTGACAGGTTAGGCACTTACTCACATATAAGGCAATGTCTCTCTTCATGCTAGGCCACCAATAGTGATCCCTAAGATCCTTATACACCTTATCTGCTCCCGGGTGGATTGGGTATCTTGATCTATGGGCTTCATCCAAAATTATTGATCTAAGATTACCAACCTTAGGTATCCAAACCTTATCTCCCAAATAATGCACTCCATCTTGTGGGATTCAGATAATCTTTTCTGAACAACCTAACTCAACTCGATATTTGGRTAGCCAATCCATACCTACAACTACGTCAAAGCTTCCTACTTTGGTTGGAATAAGGTCTATGCTAAAGTCCTTTTTGGCTAAACTTAAAGTGTAGTTCTTAATTACGTCCCTAGCCCTAACTTCCTATCCATTAGCAAACTCAATAACGAAATCTTCTTTCAGCTTTTGTGACTTTAAGCCAATCTTTGGTCTAAATTCTAGGGATACAAAGCTTCTATCTGCTCCAGATTCAAATAGTATGGATGCGTAATGATCATTCAGAAGAAATGTACCTGTGATCACATTTGAGTCTTGCATGGCTTCTTCCACTCCAATTGTAAATGCTCAACCTCATGCTTTGCCTCCTTGATTTCCTTCGTTGACTGGTCGTGCTGGGTTAGTAACTGACTCTTGGTTCAAATTCGGGCATGCATTCCTGAAGTGATTCGGGCTTCCACACTCTTGGCATGCTCAATTCTCTCTGATCTTGCAATCTTTAGCGAAATGACCTCCTTTATTGCATTTGAAACAAATAATGCATCTTCCGCTATGGTGATTATTGCACTCCCCACATTTAGGGTAAGTTCCCTTATCCTTTTCTCCTATTTGAGATTGAGCCCCAAAGTTTCTTATCACTTTTTGGTTTTTGCCTAAATCGTTGTTGGTCTTTTTACACGATTGCCCCTCCAGTTTCCTCTTTCCACCAAATTTGTCTTGCTTTAAAATCCCTGATCTAACTGCATCATTTGTTAGACGATTTGCCAACACCACCGTGTGTTGTATAGTGGTTGGGTTTGCCGAAGTGACCATCCTTCGGATTTCAGGTGCCAATCCCCAGATGTACCGATCAATTCGTTTCTCCTCTGGAGTGACCATATGAGGTACTAACTTGGCAAGCTCATGAAAGCGAGCTGTGTATTTGTCCACTTCCATTCCAATCATGGTGTGATTCCAGAATTCGACTTCCAATTTCTAAATTTTGCTCTTAGAACAATACTCTTCGATGAGTAACTTTTTGAGTTCTTCCCATGATAACTCATAGGCAGCTTGGCGACCACGGGTTTGAACTTGAATGTTCCACCAAGTTAGGGCTCTTCCCTGGAGTTGGCATGTTGCATACTCCACCTTACAGTCCTCGGAACACTTGCTAATATGGAGTACCGACTCCATGCTCTCAATTCATGATAGTAATCCAATTGCAGCTTCTTTAGCATGAAACTCCTTAGGCTTGCAGGACATGAATGTCTTATAGCTGCATCCTCTATCATTGGTGTTACGGTTCTCCTCCCTGACGAGATTCTCGGTGTTAGGGCCTCCCTCACTCCTTTGACTTGTATTTATGCCCGCTGTAACCTGAGCGACAATAGTTGGTACTGCCTCCCGAATTTGCTGAGCTATCAACCGTGCTATATCGGGTGTTTGGCTTTTAGGATTTTCTCTCGTGCTGCGAGTACTCCTTCTTGGAGGCATATTTCTAATGCACAAATTTTAAGTCGAAGTTCGGTTATTCTCACTATTTACCACTGTGTTGTACGGCATCTAATCATGTAACCAAGGTAATGATATAATAACTTATAATAATAAGGCATTAAATCGATAATCAACAAAACTTAACCATCCATAGACAAAATCTCATAGGATCCATAAATAAAATAAAGACGTGCAATATAAAAGAAAATTGTCCACAAATCATGGCTACAAGCCTCAAAAGAAAGTCTTAAAGTTCAACCATCAACAACTTAACAAATAAAATCCTCTAACGCATAAGACTCCAAATAAGCAACCCCATCATTATCATCAGAATTCCAGCTAACACCGCCAAGTAAGTGTGCAACCTCCTAATCGCCCTTCTAGCTATGAAAATTAACTCTAATGAACGATCCATCATATTATCTTGAGTGCCTAGGGCTGTAATCACTCCATCAGCAAAGTGTCGTTAATGATCCAGCCTAAGTTGACACATCTCAAGATCTTGAGTTATGCCCAGAACCCATAAATTCTCCAGGGTAGTCATACCCGGAGTGCGCTCTGATGTGGTCCTGGTAGTGGGTGAAGATGTTACACTATGAGTGCGTGACCGCAATGGCTCCCTCACAGCTCCAGATGGGGCGGAGAAAGACACCCTCATGGGTGGAGGAATGCACTTTCAGGCGGTAGCCCGAAATCTGACTCCGTGTGGCGCTATAGGATGCGCGGGCACAGAGCGAGGTGGCTGTGGGGTGGGTAATCGCGTCGAAGATTCAGTGACATCGTTGCCACTATCGTAGCCGTGCTCTGAGGGATCGTAGTCTCCGGAGTTCAAATATTCAGTTTCTGACATAATGCTGCGATATTTTAAAAAAAAATTAAAATCATTAAACGAATCATAATAAAAAGAATGCAAAAATTTATGCAAACTCACACATGCGAACCGTGCTTTTCTTATTGAGTAAGAAGTCCTTAACTTTTAGACAAAYACCTAACATAASTGATCCSCGTCTCTCCTTATRCATACTTAATTAGACACAGGTGATTAGGCTCTGTCTAGTTAGAGTATGCTAAGAAGTCACTCGTTCTAGTTTTATTAGTAGTATGTCCGTTTTAAATTTTTGAGACTCTTTCTAAGAAAATTAGTTCGTAAAATTTTGGGTTATAGTGTATGGTTTTCTTAGAAAACCGGTGTTCTCTATAACCTAGTGCTCTGATACCAAATCTGTCACACCTCGCTAAAGCGGAAACGCAAGGTATGGCAGGTAGAGTCTCATAGCAATAGTGTATAAATAACACAACCATACATTTTAAAATTTAAATACATCATAACCAAAGTTTACAATCCCAAATACAAGTTTGTAAATTAAACACAAAAGAAACCTTTTTCTGCTCTTCATGACCACAGCCTCTGGTTGAACTAACCAAAACTTCACTAATATAAATAATCTTTAGATAAACTCTCAATAAGATAACCTTTTTCATAAAACGAGTAATTTATAAAAAGCTCAAGTTCGACCAGAGCCTCTGGTTGTACTAACCAGAGCTTCTGGTTCAAAAGACATGACCAACCAGAGCCCCTCAGTTTCAACGTGTTAGTCAACCAGAGCTTCTCTGGTCTATTTTTCATAAAAAGACTAAGTATAAAAAACTCTTTCCAAAAACCATTTTAAAACAATGAATCAAATCACTAAGCTTTCTTCTCAAGATATAAAGCTTATTTTTCCAAACCAATAAATCTTATAAAAGATTTTTCATAAATAACCAGCATCCTCTGGTTCCATTATGAAAGTCAATCAGAGCTTGATAGGATCGATTAACTCAGTTTTTGGATATTAATCAAATACTCTGAATGATCTTTAAACATTAACGCTGCAACGGAAACAATAAGAACAAACAGAGCAAATAATCAATGATGAACACAGTTGATGAAATAAGAACAATGAGAGAGTAGCTTCAAATGATTTTCAATTGATTGAAAATGTTACAATACGATATGGAAGCACACTGAATTACAAAGGCCTACGCGGCTATTTATACTCGTTCCTAACGGCTTTTCTGACATGACCTAGACGTACAAATTCATCTAAGTCGTTCAAATAAAGCAGATTACAAACATAGTCACGTGATAAGCACGAGCAGCTAAATAACCTAAGTAAAACAGTAAAGAAGTTCTTTACAGAAGATAAAGTTGCAGACCCTCTGTGAGCCATCCCAGAGGCTCTGCTGGATATGACTTGAGAGCACTTGATTCCAGAGGATCATCTTCCAGAACCTCTGTGATAGACAACATAGGTTCTGTCATCTTTGACTTGTACGCTTTGATTACAGAGGACCAGTTTTCAGGACCTCTGTGATTGACAACAGAGGTTATGTCACTCTAGACTTGTATGATTGAACATCTTCTGTTATTGGTCCTCTATGGTCTTATGTGGTGGAACCTCTTCTGTCAACACTTGCAGTATTTACTTTTTCCAT